GGGTCCATAGTAGCCCATATTCTACTTTTCTATGTAATTACACAAATAATTTCGAATAGTATGTTTTTTGTACACTGAGATTACTGAGAGCGGTGCAGTATCTTTTCATGATGTTTCCAACCTGTTTAAGTTTATATTTATTATTCATTCATTTTCATGAATAAAACCACCCACTCGTATCCCTTGGAGAAACATGAGAACACATTCATCACGTAACTTTTACCCCATTTTTGGGATAGTTCTGTATACAGGATGTAATTTAATTGATGGCTAAAAAATACAGAATATGGACCTCCTAACTTTTGAGCTACAGGGTGTTAAGATTTTAGGAAAAAATCATAACTTTAACACTGTTCTACGAGCCCCTTTCCACTTCAGTTGTCCCAGCTATTGAAATCTTATTTTTTTCTTATCAAACACAAATAATAAAAATGTAGCAGGGTGTTATATGTTTAAAATATTAACAATGAATATTTTGATAATATATAGTAGAAAACACCAACTGTATCACTCCCTAATCAAATTTGCAGCATAAAAATAACACATGTTGCAATTACAGCATCCTATCTCCATTTCAATGCAAAATAAGTCTATAACGCATAGGTGGCTGTGAAAAATAAAAGCCATGACAATTGTTTTTATTAATCACAGCTGTCAGAAGACGTTTAAAATAATTTTGGGTAGTTAAGGTTCTCAAAATGGGTAGAGGAAAGGTTATTAGTGAGTAAATTCGGTTACTGATAATTAAATTTTTTAATTCTGGGAAATCAAACTCAGAAATTGCAACTTTGTTAGACTTATCGCGGTACAGTATGAGAAATATTATTAGAAGATATAACGTAACTGGCTCAGTTAATATTAAGCCAAGATATGTGAAAAAAGTAATATCACAAATGCCGACCAAAGAGCATTAAGAAGAATAATCGTGAAATACAGGCGTGCTAGTTATGTTGCAAGGAGAATTTCGAGGTCCACAACTCATGGAGAGGCCCACAGACTGGGATTTAGCACTTGCAAGGTAAGTTTTCTTATAAAAAAAGTGAAGTACAAATCCTAAAGTTGCCCAACTTGTTTATAAGCCAAAGAAAAGCCACTATGAACTCCACTGCAAAAGAAAAATCGGCTTAGATGGGCTAAAGAACATAGACAATGGACACCTCAGCAATGGTGTGCAATACAATGGAGTGATGAGGCCCGATTCGAAGTTTGTGTTGGTGTCAGTCGCAGTAGAGTTATTCGCAAAAAAATGAAGCATTCCATCTTGACTGTCTGAAGAGAAAAGTGAAATTTCCAGCATCCATTATGGTCTGGGGCAGTATGTCATCAAAAGGAGAAGGAAAACTTCAATTTATTGGTGGAAATGTGGATACAAACAAATATTTGGCAATTTTAGAAGAATCGCTTTTACCAGTGATGGAAGAATGTTTTACATCCGGCCAAGATTTTGTGTTTCAGCAAGATGGTGCAGCGTGCCATACTATACCTTAAAAAAGGCTATACAATGGATGGAAGAAAATGATGTACCACATTTGAAATGGGTTTCTAGCAGTCCAGATCTGTCACCAATTGAAACTTTATGGCACGAAATGGAAAAGGTTCTACGACAACATCCTGCTCGTACAATCACCGAACTGAGACAAAAGCTTCAAGAAATATGGGATTGTTTTACACCAATTTTTTTCCAAAACTTGGTGAACACTATGTCCCAAAGAATGTCGGCCGTAATAAAAAATAAAGGTGATGTTACCCAATGGTAATCTTTCAATTGTTGCTTTGTTAACTTCGCGCATTTATTCGCACATTGTTTATTTGTTCAGATGTTCTATTAGTTATAGGTCTAAGTGATTTCAAATATGTATTTTTACGACTACAGTGTATCTTAAATGTTTTTGAGAAAATAAATTGTTTTAGAAGTGAATAGTTTCGTCATGTTTAGTTTATAAAGGCATATTTTCGTACAAATCTTGAAGTGGACCAACTGAATTGGGAAGGGGCCCGTAGATGTCTTCGTGAAATTTGACATGCATCCACTAAGCACTAATAAGCATTTTTTGATGAAGAATATTTTTTAATATTTCTACCAGTGACATCCATACGGGATGTATACTGGAGATTTTCATTTTTGAAATCCTCATCTATTTTGCAACAAATTTGACCTTTTGATATTTATCCTTCCGATTCAGCGTTTTCGAGTAAAAAATAAAAACCATTTTGATATTTTGACTATTTTAATCAATTGACTTTAGATACCTCTTACCTGCAAACCATATCATGAGACTTTAGCGATTTTTCAATGCATGAAAACTAAAAAAAAAACAAGTTTGCTACAAGTTTTGTCAATTTCTGTGGATCAAATAAGATAATACTATTCAATTTAATTATCACAAGAATTGTAAAAAATGTCCTCCTAGACATAAGCGCATTCCCGTCAGCAAGTGCGTAGGTAAAATGCACATCTGCTAACACGGAATTTGTAAATCTTGCCATAGCTTACTTATTTTCTCTTTATTATTGATTAAAAAAACTTTCACAATGTAAAAAGCTATCACGTTTATGAATACTTGCCAAATTAAGACCGTAATGTAATCGATCAAATGTGATTATTTCAAAAACAAAATAGGACGTCAGCCTACTAGTTGGCTTCTATTTTTAGGTTAAAACAATGCATCGGACAGAAACAAGTCAAGAGGTCAAATTTATTGCGAAATAAATGAGCGTTTCAAAAATATTATTTTTCAAAAAGCAATGGCGTACCAAATATATTTTGAAAAATCTCCAGTATACATCCCGTACGGACGCCACTGGTGGAAATATTAAAAATATTCTACATCAAAAAATGCATATTGGTGCTTAGTAGGTGCATGTCAAATTTCATGGAAGTATTTACACAGTATTAAAGTTTTTTCTTAAGATTTTAACACCCTGTAGCTCAACTAGTTAACAGGTTTGGGACATATGTTCATACAAAATTTTCTTCCTAAAATGAGATTAGGAATCATATCCTGCATTTTTAGCCATCAATTAGATTACACCCTGAATATCTGACAATGTTTGTATTCAATGGTTTCAGTTATTGTTGCTGGTCATAGAATTATTTTTCAGTTATCAGCATTCCCATGCAGCATAGAATATTATTATTTAATAGGAGGAACAGAAAAACGCCTATTTTCAATATTGTCATTGTTAGCTTGTCGGTTTGCGTACTCATATTCTATAATGCATTAAAATATGGAATTAGTACTTTCTGCATTGCATTGCAAAATTGTGTCTTTTTCAGATGGAAAATTTCATCAACTGCCCTCAGGAGAGTTGCTGATACACAACTTGGAGTTCAGCGATCAGTTTCCAACGTATCGTTGTAGAACGATGCATCGACTCAGCAGAAACATCGTCGTCAGTAGTCCAGCGAATGTCAGAATAACAGGTAAGTTGCCATCTTCACAGATATTTTCAATACAAAAAACTTTAAGAGAAGACAGAAAAACAGGAATACATATCATCCGTTATACACTTGACTATTCGTCATTTGTTTGTCTGGGTGCTCCGTATGACCTTTGCCCATTAGTGACTGTCTAATGTACGTTAGTCAAATCTGTCAATCCTGGTTGCCCAGAAACCAAACAATGTCAAGGAAAAAAAGGTGTGGGGATGCATTTCTCGACTATGTTTGCTAGTGAAAATTTAACTTGACATTTAATGTAGAAAAATGAATGGGATTAATGAAGTATAAGATGATAGAGGTAATAACCTCAAAACATCTGGACGAAAGGTTAGAACCATTTATCCTTAATAAGTCAGGCCACTGTTTGCGAACTTTGGATGGAACAAGAAAACAAGAGCTCCATAAGAGACCGTGGTAGGATGGCACTGTTTATGGCTTAGTAAAAAAAATAGTCCAGTGTTCTCAAGGACTTTTATTTCCATTCTTAAAAACTTCTATTAGTCTGAGCATAGTACGGAGCTACAGGCCGTAAGGTATGTTGAACAAGTAACCAGGGGACTCAGCTGTCACGAAAGTACTGGCGTCTTACTTCTGGATGTCTCAAAGACATTTGACAAGGTGTGGCACAAAGGCCCGTTCTACAAATTGATCCATAAGGGCTTCCCCTTCTGGCCCCTAAAACTTTTGAAATCCTTCCTTGAAGGTAGGAAATTTCGGATCAAAATTAATAACATGCTGGTGAGAACACGGTCCATCAAAGCCGGTGTTCCTCAGGGTTCGGTTCTTGGACCAGTCCTTCAATTTTGACTTTTTATTCATGACGTCCCTTGCCCCAGCAACTATGAAATCTATCTCTATGCTGAAGACATTGCCCTTGTGGCGCCGAAGTGGTCTGGGAATCTAATTCATGACAGGCTGCAGAGTGCGGTAGACGAGGAATTGGAATCGGTGGCTGATCAACCGTGGCAAAGTTCTGCTAAGTATCTCGGTGTCACTCTTGACAAGGGGATGACCTGACAGAAGCACACTGAAGCGTTAAAAACTAAATCCCAAATATTGTCTCGGCAACTCTACCCTATGCTATGTAGAATCTTAAAATTAATTTTGATCAACAAAGTTCGGCTATACAAGACGGTTATTACGCCAGCGATCACTTACGCAAGTGTGGCTAGGTATGTTCTCGCCAAAACGCATTTGCATAGTCTGCAGGTTTTGCCGAACAGAACCTTGCGTACAATCACTAACGCCTCATGCTATGTCTCCAATGAGACCCTTCACAGAGACCTTGACATCCCTTACCTAAGGGACTACATCAAACAACCGGCCCAACTACGTTACAGTCAAGCGGAATCGCATAGCAACCCTTTATTGCGCGAGTCAGTAGACTACACAGTCGAACAAGTTCGCAAGCACACAAGGCCGCGGCTCGCACTGTGAACAAAATTAAATCGTGCGACCTTAGGTACAACCAAAATTATGATTTTTCTTCAACAATCTCTAAATTAAGTTTTGGATCAATTTAAAATTGCCGAATACTAGTTAGCTATGCCAATGCACCCCTCAAATTGGCGCACTTCTTTCTTCTGTGCTCTCCATCCTACCTTCCTTTCTTCCTTCTTCCCTTCTTTCTCCCCAACTTTTTCTGGTATCTTGGCAACCAGACCGGACAGACCTACTGTCTTACAAGGCTTTAACCAAGAGCAAAGGTCCTACGGACCGCTCTGACAGACAATGACGAATAGATGAAATCTATTATGCATATGTATCTTATAGAATGATCACATATCTCGCACCTTGTATATTTTGTACATTTTTACTACGGGCGCCTTAGATATTCACGTTTGCAAGTTGGGCTTCAGGTACCCAAAGTGATTGATAACAAACTTCATAAACAAATCATTTTAAAGAATTCTTGAAATATAGAATAATTAATACCTAATTGTCATGTTTTAAGCTACTGAATATTTCCTATTACAGCTTTCAGGTGTTGATCCACCATCAGCTTTATATCATATTGCAGTATCGCTTACAAAACTTCTTTCTTCTATAAACCACGTAAATATATTTGACTAACAAATTACTCAAAGAAACCAGTGAAGAGCTTCAATTGCTCACATTATATCGGAGGATTTATTCACGCAGATTCCACTCAAATGAAAATACCTCAAACGCCAGAAAATAGTTCTACGACCAATTAACCTAAATGTGGAATAAATTTAGCGTAAAATAGGCTAAGCTTGGAGTAATCTCTGAAAATTGGATTGTAGGTATTTGGAGCTGCTAATATATCACCCAAGTTGGAAACTGTTCGAGATTCTAATTTATAATCCCTTATTCATGTGCTGGTAGGGTCGAGCACCGTCTTTTACATTAGATTTCGTACAGTATGGCAGTTTGAGTCATTGATCTAATTATCCACGCCAAGGGCAAGCAAATAAATATTTTTTATTAGTTCGGAAAGGAGTCTAATTCTGTATTGATTATACTCAACAGAATTATCCCAGAGGCGGGACTATCAACTTTAGCCGAGTGTATTTCGAATTTTAACTAAGCACACCACTGGTTCCTTTGTCGGAATTAAGACGAATAAAAATCCGTTTGCTAGTTGATAAGCAGTTTCAGAATATGTAGGTATAACAATGAACCGAATATGAAACTCACAGAAGTAACCTGGAAGGTGTAAAATGTTCCTAGATCGTTTTAGTTTTATTCATTGGGTCATCAAGTAAATTGACCCTGCACTTTCTAGGAAGCTCTAAATTTTCCATAAGTCTTAGAAAAAAGTTGACACGATCATATATCAAAACCATGAATGAATAAAGGAATTAAATGGATCATGTCGGTCAAAAAATACAATTAGTCCATAGCCCTTACATATTTAGCGACCTAGCCTAACGCGCTACTGACAGTACCGACCACCCAGCAAGGTAGCAACGCAGCACCGGGTTGCGTGCCAAAATACCCGCATCATCCTTCAGGTATCTCTCAACATTTGTAGCGGACAGACGTATTCTAGTTGAATGGTCCGGCTCGCATATATCGGAAGCATTCAAGGGTAAATTTACGAGAAAATCTATGTTTTATAAAATACGTCTAGTGGGAGCGGAGAATCACCGAGGCTGGAAACACATACATTATTAGTGTCTAGAAAATGACATATACTCCCCCCCCCACCCCCTACAACTCCCAACGTCCAATTTTTAATCCCTGGGATTTTTTTCTGGAAATGACTCAGATCCTTTATAACATCAAAAAATGAAGGTTGGGCGACTTTTTTCCTTTTCGGTCAATCTCTCCGACAGCACGGGACCAATTTTCCAAAGTTTTTTCGTCCTTGGCATAATAGTATATAGAAAATTCCTCAAAATCCAAGCGATACTTTTTTTTAACAAATCGTTATTCAATAGTCAATTTTTACAAATTATACAGAAAGCAAAGTACTCTAATCTGTGTTTAAAACACTGGCTTCGAGAACAAGAATATTTATGCAGGAACCAAGAATTAGCAGGCCAACAAGCAGACGGAAATAAGTGACATGGTTTTTCGTAACCTGAATGTCATATAGCATGATGCAAATAAGCTGACCCTGAATGAAAACAAGACAATTAAACTTTTATTTACTTATAAGTTGAATAGTGATACAATAAAGTCAGTTTATTCTGCTCTATGCACTCTTTGATATTATATGGTATCTAAATTTGGGGTAAGGGTGCAGACTCGCATCGCGTATTCTCTTTACAGAGGCGGAAAATTAGGATGTTGTACTCACTGAAGTATACTGACGGTTACAAACAAACATTCAAAGAATCGAGGATACTTACATTGTCTTCAATATATATTTATGAAGCACTGTTGTATGCTAAGCAATACTTAAATTGCCGAGAATATACCTACTGACTATGATACAAGGAGTGATGGGAACTTAAATATTCCTTCTGTAAGAATATCAAAAATATAGAAAAGATTAAAAATTACAGCACCCAAATTCTACAATAAATTACCACTCCAAAACATATTCTTAAATTTAAATGCCTTTAAACCGACAACAGAGAGTTTTCTTGCTGTAAACTTTTTTTATTCATACCCAGAGCTCTTAGATTTAAAATTTTAATGTTTCATCTGTTATTGCTTTTTAAATTATTTTTATTATTTTGGTGTATCTTTTTTTACTAAGTGACGTGTGTAAGTACTGTATGTACAATAACACCAATAAGGAATTGTATTGTAGATCCAAAAATCTAATACTCGTTTTCAAACTTGCTATTACAATACGCAGGGGCGTAGGAAGTAAGAAAGGATAGAACTCGTAGATTCTGACCCGTGTCAAGTTAAATATGCTCCGGATTGTTTTTCCTCGTGTCCTGATAAACCTAGTTGAAGTCAGGGTTTTTACACTGTTTTGTTTAATTTTCTAAACAAAAACTCTTAAATCGCTTGTTCATAAGTAGGAGAATATATTTTCTTCATCCCTTGACCGCAATGACAGCATACACAACTAAACGCTATTTTCAGAAAAACTAAAAACAACTAAAAATCAAAGAGCGCTCAAAATTAATATATTTTAAACGCATACCACTAAAAAGTTTCGAGCATTTGGGTTTTTCTGTCCTATTCTTTATTACTTTGATAAAGCATGACGAATAGGGTATCCATACTTTGAAACTATATACTGATGGTATAAGCTTACATATTCTTGAAGAAAGATGCTGTAAACATTATATTACACTGATAAATACAGGATTTGTGACATGACAATTTTTTGGTGTATCTTATATATTTTAAGACCCTTAATCAAATATAAAAACAGATTTTTTCTATTACCCACAGGTATTCGGTAACATCTACTTTTATGAATTACAATACGTAATATCTCATATAGCTGAATTTCTCGGCGTTTATGCGATGACGCACATATATAATGTTAAGACCTGTCTATTCCTGTTTATTATATGCTAGCTCTATGTTTAGAGAGCATATTGCGT